TCATCAATCACGCTTGTCTATACCGTCAAATAAATTAATCTATAGTCAGAGCCTTAAAAAAGAATTTATCTTTAAGCTAGCTGAGGACCACGGCGTTGCCCCAGTTTATTTGTGCTGGGTAGATCTTTGCCTATCTCTGTGATATTACACTGTCATCCACACTACATCCACTTCACTATGATCTACAGTATATCTACTACACTGTCATTTACACTACAACCACTACACTACTGTATATCTGCTACAGTCTATACTTTCTATACTACATCAGTTGAGCTATCACTTTTAGATGGGGGGAGGGGACAGCCCCCGTTCTTTTAGATGTGTTTTTTATGAGGGGTTCCACCTTTGGGAGCGAGGGGGCGGCCCTTAAAATTGTGGGGTGCCTGCACGTCTCCCTGCTAAATTCCAGCTTTCTGACTTTAAAAACTGTAACGGGAGATCACGAACAGACAAACAAATACACACACACACACACACACACACACACATATATATATATATATATATATATATATATATATATATATATATATATATATATATATATATATATATATATATATATATATATATATATATATAAAACACACACACACTAAGTGAGTCTGAAGGAGCATACAGGTACAAACACCAGGGACTGCTGTGGACAGGCACCCAATACAGTGCCAGTTACCCAGGTTATACGCAACAGTGATACTTGAGGACGACACAGGTCTTGAAGGAGTGGCAGGACCCGTCACTTGCCTTTTACTAAGTAGTGACAGTGGCAGTGGATATATAGCGTAGAAAACGCGAGCCAGAGTGTGTCGTGAGGAAAGCTACACTGTGTCATGAGAGCTACAGTGTGTCATGAGAGCTACAGTATGTCATGAGAGCTACAGTGTGTCATGAGAGCTACAATGTGTCATGAGAGCTACAGTGTGTCATGAGAGCTACAGTGTGTCATGAGAGCTACAGTGTGTCATGAGAACTACAGTGTGTCATGAGAGCTACAATGTGTCATGAGAGCTACTGTGTCATGAGAGCTACAGTGTGTCATGAGAGCTACCATGAGAGCTACAGTGTGCCATGTGTCATGAGAGCTACAGTGTGTCATGAGAGCTACAGTGTGAGAGCTACGTGAGAGAAATGTGTCATGATAGTGTGTCATGAGAGCCACAGTGTGTCATGAGAGCTGAGGAAATCTATAGTGTGTCATGAGAGGTACAGTGCGTCGTGATCAAGGCTAGAATGTGTCATGAGGAAAGCTAGAGTGTGTCGTGAGGAAAGCTAGAATGTGTCGTGAGGATCCAAGAGTGTTCCAAATGAGGGCAATACTCACATAAAAATACACCCAAACCAAGACTGAAAGAGTTCTCCATTTAATTATGCTTAAATACGTTAAATCTGATGAAGCAAACAACCTCGTGATTACCTTGACATTGGGAAGCATCGTGTTAAAATAAACAAATAACAGCAAAATCATATAACATGTACAAAAAATAACAATAAATTCTTACCTATTATTATGCTATTGATGATATAACATGTAAAAAAAATTAATATCGGCAAAATGGATAATAGTGTTGTGAAGTACCGTTGGGTGTGTAGCAGCGTGAGCAAGCCGTATGGTGTGTTGATGTCAGCCTGTAGTACCCTGCCGTCTGCTGGATGTCCACCAAATTCTTGGGAGTCAGGTAAACACTTAACCGGACACCGACAACAACATACCATGGAGGTAATCATATAGCTTTATCGAAAACAGACGAACTGAAAACCAAAACACATACAGAATCCTTATAAAACTAAACAATATTTCCTATTTCCCCCCAGAAGCAAATGCAATAACAATCGTGTCTGACTGAACACTATATGTTTCACTAAAAGCAGATCCATGCACTATATGTTCGACAAAAATCTGTCTCGACAAATTTCCCAGAGATGGAATAGGAAGGATGGCAGTGGGGGAGGGGGGATACAATACATCGGCTGTGAATTTTTTTTTAAGAATATGATCCTAATATTTTATGTTTACAGGGCAACATTATACCATGTAACATAATTGATGGTATCTATTACGGTAGTTTTCATATAAAAGAAGGAAGTATCAACTTCTTCACTATCTGGTAGTGTTGTCCTCACTAAAACGGTGCTATAGGACCATGCTGGCTGACAGTAGACTTCCCAAGTAAATGGCAGAGTATTCCTTAAAGACTGTACAGGTTTAGTGGTGCTGGTAATATACGGAGTCATCTATCATGGCGGTGTCATCTTACTTGACGTGTCGGCCTCAGCGGGCGCTTTACGGTCACCATTTATCAAATATTTAACATCCACGAGATACATTTGCATTGATAATAATATTTAAATATATAATTTCACTCATTAATCATTTTGTAAATAGTTTTTTTTGGAGTGTGTTCATTTCATACTTAAATAATCTTATATCAAGTAATTCTTCCAAGAGAGGAAAAATTTACTCCCCTTCGATGCATTGATGATATATCTCAACTCTTGCTATTTCATGTGACCTGACCTGACCCTCTTAATTGTCTCTTCTGGTCTTTCAGTTTAGCACTAGAAAGGTGTTCCTATCAAACAGTTCAGATTATCACGTAATACAGTGCAGATACACTAAAAGGCCACAGTTGATATATATATATATATATATATATATATATATATATATATATATATATATATATATATATATATATATATATATATATATATATATTATAGGAAGAAATTATACAGGTTATCAAAGACGTAAAGATATGTGCCAGTGTTTCAGTTAACATAAACACACACACTTATCATTCTCTGTAAACATTACCCATCACCACCGTTCAGGCTACTTACTCACAACTGCTGGTCAGGCCTAAATACAAAACTTTTCCCTTGTAACATTGACTTAATTATGAAATGATTGAACTTTCTTCAATAGTCACTATCATTATACGAGGTAAATTCAAATAGAACTTACCTAATATAACTTACAACATTTTATGTGAATTTATCGTGTTTTCATTATATTACATTCATTTGAAAATAATTTTTCAAAAATTTCTGTCTTTTATATAGCTATTTTTTTTAGTATTAAGATTGTTTTAGATGAAATGTTTGACTCTCAAACCAAAGTCTCAATTATTTGAAAATATGTCAAAGATATCAAATTACCTTATGTGGGTGACGCCAGACTCGATGCTCGAAAGAAACTTCGAAGCAGATTTCAATTTGCTTTCACAAATCCTATTGCTATGGTCTCGTTTTTCTTTTCAATTAATATGCCCTCACTTCCTGGTAAATTGTGTTCCGGTATTGTTTATTTATTCACTTGTCCTCAGTGTGTCTCGATGTGGAATGTGTAGTCGTGCTGGTCGACACACTACACTATACTTGAACAAGGGTTTAACCATTTAAACAAACTTGTCATTATTAACAAATACGCCACACTACTATTACTAGGAAGCACGATCTTTATATATATTTCATGTAGATTCAAAGAACCTACTTGTGGACTCTAAGTGGCAGGAGACAAGATAAAGGCAAGCACTGAGGCAGGCGATCACAAGAACCAAGTGAATTAGACAGACCTTGAATATTTCTCTCAACGAGTTCGGACTTCAATGGGTGTGGGGGTGTTGCGGGGGGGGGGAGGTGTGTCACTGTGAAGGCCAGTCATTGCGTCGTTCAGGCTCCATCATGTGGTCCCCCCCACGCCGTTAGATTGGTATAAAACCCTTAGTGGCCCAGCTGTGCCTCACTCTCTCTACAGTCCCGACTGTGAGAACACCCGAAGAGTTTATATTTTTGTTAGTTCCTTCAGAACCTTCGTCCTTCACACTAACCAAGATCCTAACAGCACACTCAGGCCAGAGGTGCTGAGTGGTAACGTGCGGGACAACACTAACAGTGAGTTATGACCTGATATCTTATAATACTGTCGTTGCAGCCTACCTGAGGTCTCACCCCATCCATATTGACTTTACTAAAACATCTTATATTGGTAAATGTCATTATTATCCTCTTCAACTGATATTAAGACCAAGAGAGTGATGGTACTAGGTGTTGTGGGCGTTTAGTTGTTAGATTCATTTTAACTTAAACTGTTTCAGGGTCTGACGTGTGTTGTAAACACCAACTTAAATTCTGCGTGGATTTCTTTAATAAAGTTATGACAACAGTTAGCTACAACAAACATAATTCTACAAATTAAGTCACACCCATTATAAAGGAAATTAAGAGCAACGGCAATCTTACAACACCCTGAGAAAGATCCAGACAATGGCTCCCTACCTCGTGTAGTACTGCACATCGCTATAACGCTGAAACCTTTAAAAAAATGAACCAATATTTCAAATCACTTACTCTTTTACGTGTACATTTCGGTTACAAGCGGTCTCCATCCTTGGGAATTTAAGAACCAATTAATTATTCAACGATTTTGTATCATGTTTGAGTCTTCGAGCAGTTCAAAACTTTATCAGAACCGGAACCAAGTTACAGCGTTCTGAAAAAAAAAATATATAGTCATTGGTTCTGTAGTTCCTTCGGGCCATCAGATCTTAAAAAAGAGAAGAACAAATTGAAACAAAAGTCCACAAATAGATTGTCATACTACATATCCCTGGAGATTTACGGAAAAGTGATCAACCAGAATTATCTTATAGCATTAATTCTACACTTTTGAGAATTTAACTTTATTGAATATTCAATCTCATAATAACAACGAAAAATCTTAAAAGATGTAAAGAAATTAAAAAAAAAACTATCCTAATTATTAACTCAGCCTTCATTACTCCCTCTTCTTACAGAGATGTGGCGACCAACAATTCTTCAGGTGGAATGGTGGCTGCTTGGGATCTGCTTCCTATGCGTCGTCACCCAGGCGACTACAACTACAACTGAATCAGCGACTCCTACTACTACTGCTGCTACTACTTTTACAACTACTGCCACTACTTCTACAACTATAACCCCTTCTACTACTACTTCTACAACTACTACTTCTACAACTACTACTTCTACAACTACTACTTCTACTACTTCTACAACTACTACTTCTACAACTACTACTTCTTCCACTACAACTGCTAGCACCACTTCTACTACCACTTCTACATCTACTACCGCACCTACTACAACTACTACCACTCCTACTACAACTACTGATAAACCTGGTACGAATGCTAAATACTCTGCTGCTATGACCGCTAATAATTAATAATAATAGTATCTGTAATAATAATAATAATCACCAAGGAGTTGTGGGTTCCCTAATATAGTTCAAGATAACAGTTTTATATCTTTTATTTAGCTTCCAAGACTTATTTACACAGATAGGTTCCATACTTCCAATGTTTATATTCAAAATTTATTTGTATTGTAAAGGCTTAATTACAGTAATACGTAAATCACTTTCAATGTTATTATTATATACAGAATCATGTACACACACACGCGCACCTTTGAAGTCTCTCACGTCATAAGTTTGCCATTATCATTTAGGTTTGTCTTAGGCAAAATTATCGTCCCCAGAAATACGGAGATTATTATAATTCACCTAATTTAATAAACCTTTTTGGTAAATTTGATATAGTTCATAATTATACAGTACGTATCACATTGCTAAATGTTCTCTTTATTTTCTCTCTGCCTCTGGTTCTGTCTCACTTTGTATTTATTTTTTCTCTGTCTTTATCATTGTGTTTCTTCCTCTCTGCATTTTTATTCTTCATCACCCCCTCCCTCTCTCTCTCTCTCTCTCTCTCTCTCTCTCTCTCTCTCTCTCTCTCTTCTGACCAACATCTCTTACAGGTTGTGAGCTGAATGGCATACTCTACCCTCACGAGTATGTCCTGGACACGTACTGTTGGGAGCTCAAGTGTTACTGTGGCTACTGGAGGTTCAACCACAACATCACAAAATCATGTAAGCTAACACTAAGCCCTGTTTATCATCTAGACTCTAGAGTAATGACGTAAGTAATTTTCTCTTGTGTAAGTAAACGCCTCTTCCATGATACAAGAAGATATAAAACATTTATATAAACCCAGTTATTTTCATGCTGAACTGATTCGGGCCCTAATGAATGTTTCTTATATACAACTTCACTCTCTTCCACCACCAAAAACATATTTACAATCAAATAATAAAAGTAGAACTACAGTACTCCTATAAGGCCCTGAAAACTTCCTCATTCTACAGTAAGAGCTTGAATACAGTTCACATTCTGTGGGAGACAAAACACAAAGACGAGACGTAAATGATATCGTATGCAGAACAGTATTTTCAAATACAAAATGATAAAATTCCTAATTATCATTGTTGTATTGGTGGTAATATGATAATTTATGTTGGAGAAATTTTCATGTATCACATTTTGTCATAGATTATTCTACTTTATGTAATCGCTAATGTAACCATCATTTATTAACTAATCTCAGTGTATTTTGAAGTGGTCCTTTTTATTCTACATCACCACAGAGTTACACCTTTTGTTTTCTAAGGTGTATTTTCCTAAGTTTCTTCTTCTTGTTTCTGGTGGATTACAGGTTCTTCCTGCCAAGTGCGAGATGATCCTCACTACGTTACCTTTGACTTAAACGCGTACGACCACCATGGTATATGTAATTATACTGTTACCCAAGAAGGCTTCAGCTACGAACCTGAATTCGCCGTCTACGCTGACTTCAGGTCGTGTTTCGGTCATAGCTTCGCCTCCTGCCTTAAGAACACCATCTACAAGGACAGCAACGACACTGTCATCAACATAGACACCCATTCCTCCACCACCCTCTTCAACGTAGGTTCAGTTTTTCCTTCACAATGACACATGTGAGTATTTTGATATAGGATGAGGATATGTGGTTTTTATTATACAAATAAGAAAAATGAATTATTAAAAACGCATGAAATATATAAATTTGTAAAGATTATTATAAAAAAAGGGTAAATCACATCCAGTCAGCATCTTGACAAGAGAGATGGAGTGAACGTTGCTGTGAATAATTTTACAGAGAACGACAAAATGAAGATAAAGATGAGACGCAACACGACCCGACCCGCACGCTAACTTTTTTTATAATAGTGTATATGACATTCAAGCCGGAGTTTGTCCTCGGTAACGTCTCTACTCTTGGTAGTAACTCCGGCCCCCTTCCAGTGTCAGAAGCTGCAGCATTTGCTAGGTACACTGTATTTTGCAGGGTGTGGTTAGAAATGTCATTGTTTACACTGCGCTCGCCTCCTCCTGGGTGGGAGGTAGAGCTGGTGCCTCCTCTTGGGTGGGAGGAAGAGCGGGTGGGGGGTCTACCGCTACCCCCTGGCTTTGTGTCACTACCCTCCCCCTGAATATAACCCACGTACAGTACACCCGTCCCCGCTCCTCCTCGACTCCTTCCTCTGCTTCAAGCCCCGCAAGAGCGTCTTATGCTGTTCCCTCTGCATTACCGTGCGATCTGGGTGAATGAATACATTCTGAAATGCCTCGTTCCTTGCTAAGTTTTTTGCCTGCCGAATAACCTCCCATTTCTTTCCTCGCTCACTAGTGTGATTCTGAGGGGGCGAAGCTTATCCCCCTGCTTTTGTCCCAACCGACAGTTGATTATACTCGTATTGATTGTCTTCAAAAAGACATGAAAAGACTTGTACTTAGTACACCCATCACGATCACAAAGATTAACTAACTTAACTTTGAACCTTCTTGTTGTGTACTGAATCTCATTTCAAACTTGAGTCGCCAACTGGCTAGTTCACATGTAATACCTTAATTCCAAACTAACATCTCATTGTGACCAACATTTATGGGGTTCGGATTCATGTTAAGCTCCAAAAATGACAACTTCCATACAATACTGAGTTATAATGGGGAAGACAGTAGATTTCTGAATTGTGCTTTTCATAAAGTACTTTTGGATTGCATCTTTCTATTTTGTTACCTGTGATAATTTGAACTCTTTTCAAAGACATTATAGTTTGCATTTTAAAGTTTTTCTTCACCGAGTTTTACTCCTACGGTGTATTAACTTTCTATTTTTTCATTCCATGATCTTCTGCACTGGGTATGTCTGCGTCACCTCAGTTAATGGTAAACGGTGAGTCCTTCTATGTAGATCCTGGCCTCGACCTACAGCCTGTGGTGACCTCTGGCGGCAACCACGAAGTCCTTGTCTTCCGTTACCTCGGCTGCATCGTTATCATTGGTTCCTCCAAACTTGTGGTAAGTCCTTGATGGTCCTCCAGAGTGGTTGTCAATCAGCAAAGCAATGCTAATGGAACAGTACTGAAAATGAGTTATTCACACGCTTTTGTTCTGATTTAATTTTAGTATATTTCTCCTTATAACATCATCTATTGTCTTCTGTGTAGAAATATCATCAACACTACAGACCAGTAGCAATATGGCCCCACTGATCCATTATGCACAAACTAAAATGGAATTTTTTTTTCTTACAACTTACGTACAGTAACTATGGATCTTTTCATGTGATGTATTGCATCCCTGTGTGAGTATTATTAATTATGAAGTAAGGGGCAGAAATATATATATATATATATATATATATATATATATATATATATATATATATATATATATATATATATATATATATATATATATATATATATATATATATATATATATATATATATATATAAATATATATATATATATATATAATTATACGCTCAGTCTGCGTAAATAGACTGCATATTGAACAACTCGTGTACTAAAATATTGCACATTCTTTGCATGAGCAGATTATGCAGTGTACTCACGTTCTGTTCGTGTGGGCACCGTCTGAATACTCTGGGTTACTGAACGGCCTATGTGGACACTTGAGCAATAACAAGAAAGATGACTTCCTGGACAGATGGGAAGACCTGCACCCTTACAGCTATCACCCCATCCAGTTCGCGCTCTCTTGGATGGTATGTTCCACCCAAGTCATTATAATGCAACTGTACATTGTGTACACTAGTGCATACAGTATATGTGATTTGATTTGAATTATTAAAAAAAGTAGCGAGTCAGTTTTCCTTGCGAGGTGTTGTAACCGTGGGAGGAACATTAACTTTGACTCTGATAACCTGTTAAGTTCAATTTCCGCACACGCAAAATACCATAAGTGATTTACAGTTTCTACGTGTAAATAAGCAGTAATATAGAGAACTAAACCAAAGATATATGCAATTTTGATTCACACTTTGAGCCGATACACCTGGTTTGACCTCGACATAAGAATTATCATGACTGGCCCAAGAATTCTTAACAGAGAACAGGCTACTGTTTGAATATACAGTAAATCAAGAAAATCATATAATTATGAGTATTTGTAAGCATATTCTGTAGATTTGGAAATAAATAATTTTTCTAATGTGTGTGTGTGTGTGTGTGTTTAGAGGTAATTTACAATAGGTGTTCTTGAATAATTGTTTCAGAAAGTAAACATGTTGGAATACATTTGTTTTTATCAGAATTTTTTCTAAAAATCCCCCCCAAAAAAATCTGTGAATCTTAGACTTCATGAAATAAACAAATGGAATGAATATGTTGACTTTTGAAGTGGTCAGAGAGAGAGAGAGAGAGAGAGAGAGAGAGAGAGGGAGATAGATAGAGAGAGAGAGAGAATATTACTGCTCCTGGCCAGATTATCTGTGTATATTATAGCTACTGTTCCTTTGTCAGACGGAAGACCAGTTGGGGCCGCCTTGTAATGAGATGTGTCCAGAGCCTGGCTATAACTGTTCCACGACAGCGCGTTCATCGGACAAGGTGAGTTGACCTAGGGTTGCTACATCCTTCTGTTGGGTTAAATAGTTTATATACTTGTAAATTCTAAGGTTACATAGCTTTATCTAAAACAATTGACTGTAGTTTGTGTGTTCTGCTCCCAGGGGATATTATGCACCTACTATTTCATCGCTTATTGTATATTAAATGCTAAGTTGGGAGGACAGGATGTTTATAGGCTCTTGGGTCTCCGATAGATATAATTAGTCTAGATCTCAAGTTCGTTAAAAACTCCAGTATTCTTTTGGTTCACATATGGGACTCACTTCTAAGGACCATGGTAAACGTAGAGACCAAAAATTTACTCTCAGTTTTAAGGAAATGGAGGCAAAATCTGAGTAATGCCCCCTTGTATGTACAGAGTGAGCGTCTTATCAGCCACGGGAAGAAACCCAAGAGTAAAATTCAGAAAATCAGTAAGAGGATCCGGAAGCTGTGTAGAAGGCATGTGGGAAAGGACCCAATATTCTTCAGTAAGTATTTTACTTGGGGAAACAAATCAAGGAGGCAATATGCTCTTTTGGGAACATATGTGTGTGTGTGTGTGTGTGTGTGTGTGTGTGTGTGTGTGTGTGTGTGTGTGTGTGTGTGTGTGTGTGTGTGTGTGTGTGTGTGTGTGTGTGTGTGTGTGCCTGCGTGCGTGTGTATGTATGCGTGTGTGTAAAGAAGACATTTATAGTGTGTTTGTGTATACTTTACCTGTTAGGTGTGTTAATAGATAAAGATCTCCTATCACTCCTGTTAGTGGGCTTCTTAGATTAAAAAAAATGGGCTGAATCATTCAAATGATGTTACAGGCACGACACTTGGCACAAATACTCCTTGTGTGTTGTTCGTTACAGAAAAAGTTGGGACCACTTGAAATTTTCCCTTTGGCGGACATATTGAATGTTTTCAAAATAGCCATCACCAGCATGTAATTAATATAAGTCAATATATACAAAATCATCTTCACACACACACATGCAGGTTCCAAAAATGGGGTCATACCAACTTTAGAAACCTTAATACTGCATGACAACTAAGTCCCATTGTTGAAATCCCCTTTCTTGGGTCACCACCAAATGTTAATTTGTCCCATTTAATTAAAAAATCTTACATATGGAATGAGAGATATTGTATATGAAAATCACAAATACATTTCCTTCAGTTAAGGAAGTCATGCGTGTTATGTGCCTATATATGAATGTGTAATTTTATTTTCAGAATTCTGTGTGTTCGACTTGTGGCAGCTTTATAAGGAGGGGAAGCGGAATATGTGGAAGGAATGGGTCAGGAAACTCTGCAAAATCACCATCATTATGAATCACCTCCTTGAACTGGTCAAGTGTAAGCCTACATATACTGTTAATTAACTACAAGAATACTTAAGAGACGAAAAGACAGAAACAAACAAATATGATAATCACTAATGATAAAGGGAGAGTGGGATTCAGAATGTAAGATGGATTCTGTTTTCATTTTACAAATTCCATCGTCACAATTACAATCTCTCATCACATTAAAATTCTCTTCACATATTTCTTGGTACACAGTAGTAATGCGCATATCTCTCACAAATATGTCAAGGGTTCGAACCTCGGCCCGGACACACATGAGAAGGGTGTTATCTAGTGTGACTCAACCAAACATCACAAGTTTCCTGGTTCCCGGTTCCTCCTGTACTAATACTGGATAGACCAACCGCCCGAATGACTAGTAAGATGATAAGTAGCGAAAAAAGACATGATTAGAGCGGTGCCTGTCCTACTGAAATGAATTGAATAAATGTTAGGCGAGTTAATACAACTTAGCCCTTTCAGTTAGGTATTTCATTTTGTCTAACGCTTGACGATTTTATTCAGCTGAGAAAATCCCTGCCACTCAATGGGTTAGGTTAGGTTATTTTAGGTTTTGTATGAAACTATTCTTTTATATGCATCTCTGATTTACATCAGTGGTCCCCAACCCGTAGTTCAGACGCCCGCGAAACCATATTATGGTCCCAGCAAGAAATTAGAAAATTTTGCATTATTTGGGATTCTTTGTAAGAATGAAATTAATGAAAATTTGTAATATTTTGATACAACTTTATAGTTTGAGAGGGAGGTGATGAACTGCACGTTTGTCCCGAGCCTGTCGTGTACAGGACGTGTAAATTTACCCCATCCTGGGCCCAGAGAGAGAGCCTGCCTTCCCACTGGCACTGGGGTAAATACACACGTCTGGTCCAAGAGTAAATGTAAAAAGTATGTAACTGGTAACAGTTAGGCGTTTAAAACTGCAAATAACTGTACAGTACATATGACTTTTATTTTTTGCCTTGAATGTAGATTCAAAGTTTTGGCGCCCTCCAATATGTTTACACTGATAAACATGGCCCAGAGCATACAAAACGGTGGGGACTACTGCTCTACATGATCATTTGTGGCCAATCAGAACTTCCCCCCCCCCCAAAAAACAAAAAAAAGATTAATATATACAGTATATACACACAGGTGTGAGTAATTGGAAGGGACACGAACATTTATAAACATGTAAACAACAAAACAAGATCCACTGGAATTAGTATTTCGTTATACTGTACTATTACACTCCTTATATACTAATCAAATGAATATTTCTTTTCGGCAGAGAGACAACCCTAATTCTGAAGATGACTAACGACTTGATTAAAGGTAAGGAGAGGCCTCACCTTGATTTTACTATTGATGCTCAGTACTATATCTGGTGCCCACCTGGTTCATTCCATCCCAAAACTGGAACTTCTACCATGAACCTTTGTTTGAGTGTTAGCTGTGAGTGATGGCTGAGGTATATAGCAAGTGCATCTCTATTACCGTTCTTTCTCTGGCTTTTGTTTTCCGTTTTTAATGTATATTATTATAAATATTGTTATTTCTTGTTAATAGTTCTTTAATTTGATAACTAACAAGAAATCTTCTCAATGAGTATGTTGCCAAACATTAAAATATATTTAGCATTTGAAGAAGTTACTGTGCATAACACTTCATTTCTCTGGTACCACTGATGTAATGATCTACAGTATACAGCAAGAGACACTTAATTTTTATGATTGGGTATGAAAGGAGTTATGTAAATGAAAAAATATATTTAGGAGTTTATTTTAGAGTCTACTGTTTTCGATCATTTCATCATCTTTTACTTTTTACTTACTTTTATCCTATTCACCACTGACCGGCTCGTTAGCCGCTTGGGCGATCGGTCATGTCTCTGTTACGCACTGTTAGCAAGTACTGGGCATTCACTGGCTCCTGAATGTTTCTGAACCTGCTCCAGAGCTAATCAAGTCTGGTCTTGAAAGAGCTCACAGTCTTTGCCGTCACAACACTCTCTGACAGGTTGTCCAAGAGTTCACAACTCTCACTCCGAAAAAGTTACCCCTCACAGTTTTCTGGGCTTGCGGCTTCTTCAATCTTCAGCTGTGACCCCTTGTGGGGCAAGCGTCCGCCAGCTCCAGGTAGGGACACTCGACTGAGTAGTGCCCTTTGAGATGCTTATACACCTCAATTAGGTCTCACCCTTGCCCGTCTGTAGTATAAGCAAGGCAAGTTCAGGTGCTCCAATCTCTCAGGGTAGCTGAGGTGCAGTAGTGCAGGCGCTAGTCTGATGGCTCTCCTTTGGACATTTTCAATCAACTGACAGTCCCTAGAATAGCTCGTGGATCAGACGGGGTGACAGTACTCCAGATGGGGAAGCACTTCACTCTTGAAGATCGTAATGAGGGTCGGACCGTCTAGATATCCGAACGATCTTCTGATAAGACTTAATAATTTAGTTGCCTCATTTACCTTCTTCTCGCAATGGCCAGAGATCTTCAGATCATTGTCAACATACACACCTCGGTTCTTTTCACATTGTCTCAATTAATGCAGTTTTTTCGTCCCGTTGGGACATATGATACGCCTCCTTATAGTTGGTACGTCCCAGGAGCATCCTTTTACACTTCGTGACATTGAATCTTAGCAGCCATTTCTTCGACCATTCTTGAAGCTCACAGAGATCCTTCTGCAGCTCTTCACAATCTGCTTGGTTCTTAATTTCCCGAAATAACTTGGAGTCATCCCCAAACATTTGTATGGAGGAATGTACAGTGTCAGGCATGTCATGTATGAAGCAAACAAACAACACCGGGCCCGATACACTGCCCTGTGGTACCCCACTTGTGATGGGTACACATGATGATTTCGTGCCATTAATCACCACACACTGCTTGCGATCATGTAGAAAGTCTTCGATCCACGCTAGAAATTTTCCCGAATCCCGTACCCTTCCAGTTTAATTTCCAGCCTTTCAAGGGGTATGCTGTCGAAAGCCTTGGCAAAATCTAGGTATATATTGTCGACATTACCAAACTGTTGTAGAATATGGGTCCAAATATCCAGTACCTTGAGTAATTGTGTTAAACAAGAGCGCCCCGGCATAACACCGTGTTGGCAATCGTTTACAAGGTTGTTTCATAGTAGACGTTCCATCATGGCATCTCTTATAATGCTCTCAAGTACTTTACATGCTTTGCTGGTCAGGCTCACCGGTCTACAGTACAGTAGTTCGTGGAGTGAAGATCGCCCTCCTTGAAGATAGGACTCACATAAGCCATTTTCCAATCACTGGGGAACTTTTGTTCATCCAGGCAATAACAGAACAGGATCTTCAGGGGCTCAGAAAGCTCGTTGCACAACTCTCTTAGGACTCTGGGAGGCACCATGTCAGAGCCGGGACTCTTATGAACCTTTAGCTTTGACAAATTATTTCTTATAACCTCTTCTGTGAACACAATGTGGGTCAGTGCTGTGTTGAACAGTCTGTCCTCAAACGCAGGTATGTTAATCGCATACTCTCTTGTCAACACCGAGGAAAAGAAGCTGCTCAGGGCCTCAGCTTTGTCCTGGTCAGAATCTGTGTAACTACCATCATCAATCCTTAGGACTGATACTCCAACTCGCGTTTTTAATTTTCGACTTTGCATAGTGGTAAAACGCCTTTGGGTTTGGCCTAACCCTCGCCTTGAATTTCTGGGTTTTCTTCTTAACTTTGTCGATCGCTGCATGGTTAATGTGTAGGGGTCCCCTTGTATTCCTAGAGGCACTGGGTTTGGTCTTGGGTATATATTTATCGATCAAATGGTTCACTTTACGAGCTATGGTATTCAGCATAGTGTCTGCCTTCTTATGCCTTAGTGAGTCATACTAGTGGATACCCCTCATCTCGTCCAATTTCCCTTGTAATATTTGCACTTTGGCCTGGTTTTGTCATGAACTAGGTAACAGTTAAATCTGAAGAACAACATTACATGGTGGCTGGTGCCAACTGGGGCTAGATGTTTCAGTTTGGCCACCATACCCTCCTCGTTTGTTATGATGAGGTGTTTGAGTGTTTGCTCCCCTCTGTAATGTGTCGGGTCTTTAACATGTTGGAATAGAAAATGATCTCTCAGAGTTTCTACAAAAAGAGTAGTGGGGTTATTTAAGTCAATTGGCGTGAACGGGTTTCTCTAATCGATGTCGCCATCGTTAAAGTCCCCCATGATAAGGAGGTGGCTGGGGTTGAGCATCGCTGCGTTATCTACTGTATTAAGACTCTTAAGTTCCATTGATTTAGTAAGCTACAGTTTGGGGATATGTAGATACACTCAACAATAAGTAAGTCTCCTCCCTTTAATTAAATTTTACACCACTTGGATTCTTCTAAAACATCCTCTCCCTGTACCCTTGCCTGGCTGGCTCTAAGGTCTTGCCCAGCATAGATAACCACACCTCTCTTGCAAGTTTCTTGAGAAAGGTTTGTATATAAGTCATATCCGTCAATACTGAACTCGCATTCTTCTGGGTCGATTCTCCTGTTCTTGTACAACAGTTCTACAACTCCTACTATATCGGGTTGGTGTACCTTCAGTTGTGTTTCAAACTCCTCTCTCTTATTAAGGAACATGTCAGTATTATTGTACATAGCATTCAAGCCGGAGTTTGTTCTCGGTAACATCTGCTCTTGGTAGTAACTCCAGCCCCCTTCCATTCTCAGAAGCTGCAGCATTTACTAAGCATACACTGCATTTTGCAGGCTGTGGTTAGAAATGTCATTGTGGGAGGTAGAGGTGGTGCCACGTCCTGGCTGGGAGGTAGAGCTGGTGCCTCCTCCTGGCTGGGAGGTATAACGGGTGGGAGGGTGTGCCACTGCCCCCTGGCTCTGTGTCGGCGCTCTTGCTTCCACTACCCTCCCCTTTACTTTATATTTTTCATTTTGTTTTACTTCGATTAGTATTATTGTTTTCAATATCTTGATAAGAAATACAAAAAAATTGATTTTTGCCTTGACAGTTGCCAGTTTTACCTTGTTATGTCAGTAAATATTCATCTTTTATCCAACAGGACACAACGAGGACGACTTCTGTACACACGAAGATCAAAATGTCAACAACTCTTTACTTTAAGTCCACAACCTTACATTACAATATACTGTATCAACTTCTAACCACAACATCACTAACTTATATCACCATAAATCGACTTAAAACCACAACATCTCTAACTTATATCATCATAAATTGACTTATAACTACAACATCACTAACTTATATCACCATAAATCGACTTAAAACTACAACATCGCTCAAGACCTTACAGCCACCATAGATCCAAGTAACATTACCAATCAACACCTCCACCACTTAACACAGTGAAGCATATCACTTCTCAGCACATCATCTCTTCAAGATGAATGACAACATGACTGTGCAACATGATAAGACAAAGAAAGAGAAAAATTCATATGCTAGTGTTAGTTGACAAATCAATTGGACTGAGTAAAAGTATATGGCAAACAAGTTCCTGATATATAAAAGGAATCAACAGCAAAATAACCTCATGGCGATATAGCATGTATCAGTAGGGAGTCGGGAAACTTCCAGTCAATGAACATCTTATGCGATACACTAACGAGTACAGTTCATAAATAACAAGATTAACAATATAAATAATAATTGTAAAATTATTAATAAGTACAAGACTGTATACATGATTGTGTGAAAGTTTGACCCTTCTACCTCTACATTACCTGGTCAGTGTAGGAGGAAGGAGACCAGATATATATGAGCTTACTTGAACACACACTGGTACCTGGATGATTACCAATAATCTTTCTGATTTTAAACATTTATTATGAAGAAACTAACAAAGCTACAGTGAAAATCCAGATACCTGTATATTAATATAAGAAATTAAGGGAAATTTTGTTTTTTATATTGACTATAAGGTTACAATATTCCTGAATGAGTAATTACTTGATCGTTGGGTCGGGTGTGGTGGTGGGTGGGGGCATTCCTTGGCTGGATTGTTAGCCAGATCTAAGCCCTTTGACCTTTTCCTCTGGAGTTATGCCAAAAATTTATTTTTATTCCACCAATCCAGCCACTTTTGGAATAATTGAAAGAATGAATATGTGAGGCTGTGAGATAAGTTTAATAAAAAATGTATGGAGGGAAACAGAATACCATTTTCATTTCTGCAGAGCTACAACAGCAGCTTACACTGAACTACAGGTTGACAACCCTTTATCCGAAATTCAGAAAACCGAAAAGCTCTAAAAACCGAAAGTTTTTTTGTGGGTCTGTTTTTTTTTTTTTTAAACAGGGATTAGCCCACCTAGGCATAAATCACTGGCTCACATCGGGGCCTGGTGGGCTCAAATGTAATACAGTGGTCCCTCGGTTAACGAGTGCCTCGGTTAACGAGATTTCGGTTAATGAGTTAACTTCCATAAGATTCTTAACTTGGTTAACGAGCAATCCCTCGATTAACGAGTTTCTTACAAGCCGACCTGAACATGTTTTTGCTTGCATTTGGCGGTCCACCAGCTGTAGTATTAGTCCGCTAATACAGTAATCGGTTCTAGGGCTTAAATTCCTTACCATTTTAGCAAATATCAAGAAGTTTATACTATTCAATAATTTTATAAGTTTAATATTAAATTTTTTAGTCATTTTAACAATTATTGAACATAAATGAAGGTAATGAAACTAGTTTTATGCACGCCATCCAACCTCTCAACACACCATACAGGCGTCAGTCTTTGTGTCTTTTCAGTGGACGTAACATCTTGCTTGAGACTCTCTTCAACTAAATGCATTTTTTGTGTTTGCAAGCAAATTATTGGTCGTTTTTAAATTTATTTTACATATTGACAATATATAATGCAGTGCAGTGCAGTGTTGATTTAAAGAAAATAATCTTGAATTACACCAAGTGAACTTAAAATTTTATGGGTGAAATGGCGGCATGAAGCATGGGGTAACTTCTCTTCCACCCCAATGCCTTCTTTTCTGCCTTCCCCTCCACCCCCATTCTAATTCCCATCATCATCATCATCATCCAGGAGCCTTCTACAAACACACCTCAAAGTAAGTGTACTTTTCTACATTTTTTGCTGAATTTAGGCAATTTTCGGTGAGCTCGAACCAATTACCCAATAACCCATTGTAACAATGGTTTTGGTTAACGAGTTTTTCGGTTAACGAGCAACCTTCTAGAACGGATTGTGCTCGTTAACTGAGGGACCACTGTAGTAATAATAATTATAATAATAATAATTATTCATAGTAAATAAAAATTTTAATTAAAATACTGTACTGTACACCAAAATAAAATAATAATGATAACAATAATAATAATAGTAATAAAATATAATAATAAAATTAATAATAATAATAATAACAATAATAATGTAATAAAATAATAATAGTAATAAAGAAATACAAAAATGAAAAAAAAGATCAAAAGTGAGAAATACGACCTATAGACCTATGAATTATTATTACAGTATTATTAATAATAATAATAATAATAATAATATTATTATTATTATTATTATTATAATAATATTTCCCCACCAGGCCCCAATGTGGGTCAGTGAGCTATGCCCGGGTGGGCTTATAGAAAAAAAAAAAAAAAACTCTGAAAACCGAAAAATTCTGAAATCCGAAATGCCTCTGGCCCCAAGGATTTCGGATAAGGGATTGTCAACCTGTATTACATCTTAAATCTAAAATGTTTTGAGTTCATCTTATTTGTACAATATATCTTGATTGGTAGACTTGTTATTTTTTTGTTTAGTTTTTCATAATAAGGATTAAAATTGGAAAGCTTGCCAGGATCAATATTCGTCAATAGACAAAACTCAAAGACACACAATGTTCTATTAAGCTTAAACAGTCAGTACTGTGAGGAAGCAAAATATAAAGCATATTTAATTTACAGTGTTTCTTCCTCAACAACATGAAGATGATTAAGTTTGGTGACATAAGTTCTGCACTATATTTAATTTTTTGAAATTTTGAAAAGTATAATACAGTAAGTATCATTTTTATAGAAAAATATAAAAAATAAGATTTTATGTAATACAGGAGGGTGGCAATTATTATAACGACCGTCCTCAACAATGTATTGAAAATTGCGAGAGAAGATCTGTATATGTCGACAACTTCAAAAGGCCTTAAACACTGTCTTCTTACTATTGTACAGTCACGACGATTCTCGACATTTACCTCACACCTAATAGTTGTATATCACATGAAAAGTAAAAAAAAATTCCCTTATAAATTTTAATAATACAGTACGTATTTGATTTGATTAATGTCTTACCTTGACTGATGCACCTATCTAACACAATCACAACCGCAGGCTATAATCTACTTATTATTTATTGTTAATGTTAGTCACCTCTCTAGTGTGTCCTCACCAATAAATCCCTGAAGTTTTGAAGCTTGACAAGTGTAATTATACATTCTAGTCAGTAACATGTGATTATTACATATAATGATACTAAAGGTAGTTTTTTGTTATTTTAAAGGTATTGGGTAATGTATTAGGAATAAATTAATATTTATGGTATGGGCTTACCTTATTGATGTGTTATGTATATTTACTTATGTTTATAAAATCGGTAGAAGATGACAGAATGATGCTGATGTCGATGAATCATGACACAATTGCCTCCACAATGTGTTAATTGGTGGTGTTAATTACAACTTTGTAAAACATGGTATGTTAAAGTTGCTGTGAACTTGTCAATAAATTGGCTTCTAAATATATTTGTGTTTAATTGATCTATATAACCAGTATAAGAGTAGGATGTATAAGACCAGTATAATGGTAAGAAGTATAACTTTTGCATTTTTCCTGTATTTTGATATAACAAGAGTTACAGAAGATGGGGTAGAGATGACACAAGTCAGAAAAAATGAACACAAACATGAACACGATTATGTCTGTAAAATTACAAATATTTGGGGATTGGTTTTACATACACACAAGTAACACTATCTGAAAGCAGGTAGTTGACAAATGTATGTACTGTATACTCATGTTCACAAGCACAAAGACATGAGTGAGTGAGGAAAACAATATTTCATCTCAGCTTGGTCTACTTGTGGCTGTACTAAGCCCATGTGACTGGATCCTGCAGAGGGAAGGTTCTCTTGCCATCATTGAAGGCTGCAAACTCCCTGAACTTCCTCTAACCACTTCTGCCTCTTAAAAATGGGCAGGGTTCAGCAAACCTAATGGCACTGATCATGTCATCCAGGTAACATAACTCATTAATACTATCCGGGGACATATCCCCAAAAATGAGTTTTTCCAGCCTTGCTGTAGGCAAATGGCTACCCATGCATACAGAACATATAAAGTCAGCAACATCCTGCAGTCTGGTATAAGTTAAAAGTTAAAAAAGTTTATTTAATCTTAGCAATCCAGTACAGTACTTTGATAAACCTCTCTTTTCCAGTCCTGAAGAAAGGATAGTTGTCCCTCACAGTAATTCATTTAAACAAAGAAAAAAATGAAAGTGATATCTTAAATATTGACATTAGAGCTTATAACACCATGAATAGAATGGCTTCAATGTCATGAGCCACAAAGAAATAGAACTTAAAATTTTCTGATAAATAAATATCATTTAAATCCAAAATTCTTATCAATTTTTACAGTCATTTTCCATGATTGCATGGATTAGCTGCAATTATGTGATTGCAGCCTCTTTAATCAAGTTCTCATTTCTAATGTCATTTCTTACCACTCCCCATGACATTTTTGGCCTACCCTTAACTCTCCTTTCCTCCATATTTAGAGTCTTTTGACCCAATTGGTCTTCTCCATTCTCTCCACAAGACCAAACAACCCCAGCCTACCTGTATGCAAGACTTTGCTAATACTCTCAATACCCAGCTGTTCTCTTAGCTCTTAACAGGGTTTCCTAATCTTTCAGTGTCACATTGCACATCCATATCGTAAATCTCAGTTCAACTCACTCAAGCCTGTGTATGTCATTTTCTTAAACTGCTGATGTTTCACTGCATACTTCTCTCCTCTCATATGAAGGGAAGGTCCTTTTGCCATTAATAAAGATAGTAAATCCTTAAACTGTCTCCACCCATTTCTGACTCTTGCAACTGAGCGAGCTTTGGCACTGCCTCCGCACTGATCATGTAACCCATTATAAACAGAATTATTTCTACCTTGATAAATTTTAGGGACCTGTTTTATTGAAAATCTTTTTTATTTAGATGTCTTTACTGTGTTTTACATGGTTATAAACTTTGAATGTATATAGTGGTCCCTCGGTTAACGAACACAATTCGTTCCAGAAGGTCATTCGTTAACCGAAAATTTCGTAAACCGAAACCATTGTTTCAATGGGATTTTGGGTAATTGATTCCAGCTCACCGAAAATTACATACAAACTAAAAATAAACGCAGTAAAGTACACTTTCTTTGAGGTGTGCATGTAGAAGGCTCCTGGTTGATGATGATGGGAATTAGAAGTGGGGGTGGAGGAAAAGGGAGAAGAGAAGGCAGTGGGGGTGGAAGAGAAGTCACCCAATGCTTCATGCCGCCATTTCACCCATAAAATTTTAAGTTCACTAGGTGTAATTCAAGATTATTTTCTTTAAATCAACACTGCACTGCATTATATATTGTCAATATGTAAAATAAATTTCAGAATGACCAATAATTGCACTGTAAAAACGTAAAAATAGTTTATGTTCAAGGGAGTCTCAAGCAAGATGCTTCCTCCACTGAGCAGAGACACAAACTGACTCCATTCTGGGTGAGTCAAGTGGTTGTTTGGCATGCTAAAAACTAGTTCCCTGTACTTCAATTATGTTAAATAATTGTTAAAATTACTAAAAATTTTAATATAAGACTTGGAAAATTATTGAATAGTACAACCTTTATGATATTTACTCAAATGGTAACGAATTTAAGCCCTAAAACCGATTACTGTATTGGCAGACTAATACTACAGCTGGTGAGCAGGTGAAAGCAGGCGAAAACATATTGGGAAAAATTTGTAAGGAATTCGTTAACCGAATTGAATATTCTTATGGAAGGTAATTTGTTAACCGAAATTTCGTTAACCGAGGCGTTCGTTAACCGAGGGATCACTGTACTGTATAGTGCTTATTATTAACTGAATCAGGTTTCCTTATCAACTTCATTTTCCATACATTTTTCATACTTGTACTGGTCAACAGCTCTCTTGAATGTCATGGGGGTCTTGTACAAAAGGCTGATTGGAAAGGGCCAATAACCTACCTCCTTCAACTCCTCGATTCTTCCCAATGTTCGTTTCTCTGAATACTGTAGCACACGCAGGCAGAATCTAAAATTGGAGAAATTATATGCAAAATTATGGGAAGCTTTTATCAAATAGATTATTAAGTCTTGAGTAGTGAATCATATAGTCATTACCTGCTTCACATACATGATGCACCCCTGAAAACCTGCATGTTAAGTGCACACACATAAAGCAGACCTTAATTTCGCAGAGAAACCCAAGTTATAGGTTGAGATACTGTACAGTATGTCCCAGAACATTCCCAAATTTTCATTCTACCTTGAGGCAATTCAAAACTTGAATTACCTCTAATAATGACAGAATGGTGATATATGAATACAGGAACTTAAAATAGAGAAAAAAGTATACAATATGAATGTTGTCATGTTCAGAAAAGACAGGGAAAGTGTTAGGTTAGATGTGAAAATAGATGGACACCTAGCCACAATATTTAACATAAATTTTGATGTGTACTTGTACATATTTTGAATTTTTTGTTATCATAAATAAATAAAAATCTTCATTCAAAGTAAATCTTGACCTGATATTTTCATATTTTTTCATTAATTATTTTTCATTTAAAAAAGTTTAAAAAAAGCAGGGTCGCCAACCTCCCTCGGGTGGGAGACCCTACCTCCACACTGGAGTGTATGAGATTCAAAACCGCTATAAGTCACTAAAGACTATAACAATTACACTTTTATCTTCCTGTAATCGTGAGGGTTATATTTTCGGAAATCGTCGTGAATCGTGAATTCACGAATACTGATTTAAAACCTTACGGAAAAAATAGGGTCACTAATAAGTTTTCGTGAATAAGTGAATTAAAAAATACAGAGTTCGCGAAAATGGAGGGTTTACGTATACGAGTATTGTTCCCTAATTATTAAACAACATTATATATATATCGAACCGACACTGTTTGGCACAACGGAAATCAGTGAATGCCTGTACCCAGTACAATGCTGTACACTGTAAACAAAACCAGCTATGGGTCCAATATATGTGCAGTATCTTCAAACATGCGTATGTAACACTGAACGACTGGTACCCTTATAAAATGTGCGTATCATCAAATATACATACTGTATATCAAATGTATGCTAAGTAGGCACTCACTGTACCCCTCCTTCTTGAAAATTTAATCGGGCAATGCAGGAAAGCGATCCTTGGTCAAGTTGCCTTTCTGTTTACCTGCACTGTTTTGACACACAGGAAACTGTATACTCCTACGGCCTATGTCTACATTCATGCTGAACTGTATACCTGCATATTTTATAAACATGCATATCCAATTGTAAACCTGTATGACAACTTTACTGAATATATATCAATACGGTATCATCATTCCCGATACATGCTGTGTACTGTATATAGTTTGTGTGGTTTAGCTCACTTAAGCAGCAGTATTATTCTTTCTTTGATTTTCTTATAAAAAGGAAAATGTCCAGTAAAGATGAAAGGATCTCATTTCCATTTATAAATTTTAAGTATGTACAGTATGAAGATTCTGCCTTGGTAGATCTGGGGCTTTCCCTAGATACCATGGAATCTACTAGACTGTACCTTGGTCTAGATACTACTACAATTAATCCAAGCTCAAGAGGCATAGTTGTACTTAGCACAAAGGTCAATAGATTACCTGTAGAAATGTTGATTAAGCGGAAGAAGGGTGGAGCTATAATACTAAACTGTTATTAACTATTGAAAATTAATATGTAATCCTTAGCTTTAACTTGAACCTGATAAACAGGTCTAATGGGTGACACATAACAAAATTTACAATAACTTTGGCATACCATATCTTTATTTCCAGCCTTGGTGCACATACACAACATACCTGACATCATATGGTGTGAATCCCACAGAAAATAGAAGATCAAGTTTTCTTTTCAACTTGCTGACATGGATGTGCTTGAGACCAGGATTACGTTGAAAGTTTATTGCCACAAAATGAGGCTCACATTCCAGCCTATGTGCTAAGTAACTCACTACATCCTTGTGCTGTCCTAAAAGCATTTTCTGAGACCGATATCGCTCACAGTATCTGGAAAGTAAAATTAGTACTGTACTGCTGCCTTTCAAAGAAATATTAGTGAGGCTGCTCCATCATCAAGTGAATTATACTGTGGTCAGCTATACTGCCATGTTGTGCATGGAAGTTTATCTTGGTGAGTCATCCTAGTGCCACTGGACAACTTTTGCTACAGTATCAGGTTTATTATAGTCAAGGTACCATACTTTTAGAAGTACTGTACTTAAGTACGTAAAGTAAAAAGTAACTCACTGAAAATAATATAATACGTATACTTCTTCCATCAATAGTTCATTAACGGTGTATGTAAGTTCCACCATGGTTTTTTTTAGCATTAAACTGTTATTATTTTATTGTCTAATTATCACTACATATAACACCACCCATCATCCATCATCACTACATATAACACCACCCATCATCCATCATCACTACATATAACACCATCCATCATCACTACATATAACACCATCCATCATCACTACATATAACACCACCCATCATCACTACATATAACAACATCCGTCATCACTACATATAACAACATCCATCATCACTACATATAACACCATCCATCATCACTACATATAACACCATCCATCATCACTACAGATCAGTAAAGTAGTTTCCGAGATTCTAGTGCGGACACACAAACAAACAGACATACTTCTTTATTTTATATAGATAGATAAATGTTACCCAAATGCAGTATTGCTAAGCTGTGCACATTTACAGGATTATAAGATTTAGTGACAAGCTGCCAGGGTTCATTTTATTTATTCATACACTGAAAACAATTGGCAAAACTTTGTATTAACTTTTAATATAAATAATTTTCAAATTTCTTGCATTCAATACCCTGTAGTAGCATGCTTTGGGCTAAAAATTAGCACAGCACAGCTAAACAAACATTCAGAGGCTGCTGAAGCTGACAGAAGAGAGTTTAGGGACAAATATTGCGAATGAATTATCCTGTCTTATTTCGCATTTTGCTTGAGTTCAAAACTCGCATGTTTCGAAACTAAAGATTCATTTTACACGAGCTGTTGTGAGAGGCCGGCAAGGCAGGCCACGTCATTTAGCCGGGACCTGCCTCGTCACTGACACTCATCCTCTCTTCATCCTCTCTGTGAGTATGATTAATAAAATATATATATGTATATAGTGTGTTTAGCAAATAAGTGGCATACTTAACTGGTGTTACAAGTAAATAATTTAGTTTGTATGAAACTAAGGACGTGTTCAATCCTTCAGCTTTTTATATATGGAGTGGCGGAGCTGCTGCAGTGTGGTGACCTGTGTGGACTACCGCTAGTGACCTAGTTAGCTGGTATTGTGTGTTACCTCGCTAGGATTTGTGTGTGCAACTAGCCCACTACAGCACCTTTTCAACAGTGCTGACACCTTCAATGATGGATGCGGCCTCCAGTGTAACCCCTGTGTACATGAAGTCCAGTTGGCCTGAGTCGCCAAGTGACACCAGACCCCACCTCTACCAGCCATGATTCATATTTTATATGGTCTCCTTAATATGCTGCCACTAGAGTATTCTTATTTTATTATTGTTAACACATTTTAATTTTTCCTTGGTACAATCAATCATAGTTGAGAGATAAATGCAGAGTTAATCATAATTGGTGTGAAGATCTAACAACCTTTAATGAATACCTTGACACGGATACCTTATTTCCAATTATTATCCTACTAATTCTCGTAATTTCTAGTCCCTCTGCAAAACTTATCAGAAACATAAATAAGGACTAATGATTCCTTAAATGATTAGCTGTCAAACTAGAAGTATGCCATGTACTGTAGTACTATTTCATATGCCTTTCACTGACAGGATGCTGTTTGCCTGTCTGTAAACTTTCTTTGTAAATGCAACTCACCTACAGATTTTTATAGAATGTTTTGAAACTTGTAACATACTACTACCACCACCTGAACATCTGTAAGTGTATTACTATCATAAGTAAATTGTTTCGACACCATCCATCTTGGGATTATAAGACTGACTTTAGAGCATACAAAGTAAACTGTTTTGCAACTAACCTCTCAAAAACTTCAGGAGTCGAGTGACAAATCCATGGTTTGGGCCTCTCACAACCTACTTCACGGGCTTGCTGCAGTCTCTCCTCTGCTATTTTAACATTGTGACAGAACACCCATAAGTCGGATACAATGTCTTCAGACTGCACTCCATATGCTGTGGATAATCATCATACTGTACTCTCATTAAAGAACTTACTTATCACTGATATCTATATCAGGCTAAATAAAGATTTCTACTGTACATTTATTTTTGAGAATTCACATTGGTCTTTAAAAATGTCCATATCAAGTGCTGGGTTTAAATACTCCTGTGAAATGTAGCAATGATTTTGAAACCTACATTTCAGTAAGGTTCAGCAAAATTCCTAATCCTAACCATTATTTCGTAAAAAAAAATTAATATAAAAGTCTGAGAGTAACATACTACCTACGAGTAATGAGCTATTGCTTATGAAACATACACTAGCATGTGTGTTACAATGAATATGATCAACATGCTGGGGAGGGTCTGTTTAATACCATTACCCTGTATACAGTAAAAACCCATAATTCAAAATAATAGGGGCACCTTTTCCTGAGGGATAAACAAAAAACAACAGTACTTCTACATTATCTGCATCAATCAAAACTTTAACATTTCTAAGTACAGTACAACATTTAGGTGCTTGGTTCAGGGTATCAGACATAAAAGCTCAAACATTGGGCAATGATGGAAAACCAGGCAGGAAAAAGCGTACATGGTAGACCATCGAAGTACACTCGATGACTGACCAATGTGAACTGACCATGACTGACACGATTGACACGCATAGTACTTGTTTACACTGAGGTGGGCGGTCGCATCCCATGGCGACATGTGTGTCATATATTTGAAAATGTCTTTCATAATCAGAAATTTTACCAAATATTATGAAAACTGTAATATACAGTATATATCGTAAGAACAAAACATTATAAATTATGAGTGATTTCAAATTTGGGGAGTACGAATTATGGGGGTTTTACTGTAAACAGTACACATATTCTTCCAATCTCTATGTCCTTACTGTAACCTTGACAATCCCTCTACCAAGTACTTTCCACAACTCACTGGTGCAAGACAACACATTCTCTCCCTCTTAATTTTTTTTTAATCCACACCTCCAAATTTCCAAAAGAAAAATACTCAACAAGATAATACACTTCACCAAGACACATCAACAACCAAGAAATTTCAGTTTAAAAGCACATCACTTTCTAAAGATCCATTCGAACAACTGGTTTCCTCTTCCTCACAGGAAATCTGGTAGAAGGAGCAGCTACTGTATTCCCATCATCCCTTACACTCTGTCTCTCAACAGGCTCTGATTCTGAGAAAGAAACATTAGGTGGAACCTGGATGTCGTTTACATGGACAAACATGTTTCTATTTACACATCCTTTCACCTTTTCGGCTGCTCGCTTCATTACCTCGGCCTCATCTGTAGGGTTGGTTTATTTATATATTGCGTATGATATCAGTTACTGTATATGGGCCCTTCCATTTGGCATTTAATTTCCTAGTGGTACCTGGGATAGGTACTCCATTTCTCCCCCAAACAGTTTCCCCTAGTTGTACTGCTTGGTTGACTCTATCCTGGTTTGCCATGTTCCGGATTTCTCTTGACATTTGTTCAGAAGCTTCTGTAATCAACCTGTGAACCTCTCTCAACCCTTCGCTATTCTCATTTTCTATTATTGGTAACTCAATGCCCACTTGTCTCTGTGCGTGTCTGGAACAGAATGTGAAATGAGGTTGTACGCCGGTCATGGTGTGCACAGTGGTGTTCAAAGCATACTGTGTAGGGCCAAGAACCTTGGCCAACGTCGATGATCATCTTCGCACATTTTCGATAGTATGTTCTTAGAGGTTTGGTGCATTCTCTGAGTGATACTGTTACCTCTGGGGTGATAAGGCAAAGTAAAATACGTCTTAATGTTAGTTACTCGACAGAGTTCCCTTTAGGGCTACGGAAAACATTAATGAATTTCTCAAATTCATGGGTAACTTTTTTAGTTTTCTTGGTGCGCTGATGTTAAAAGTTAACAAACCTTGAATAATGATCGATGACCGTTAATACATATCGGTTATCATTGATCCCAGCTTGCATGTCTGTCAAGTCCACAGAAACTTCTTTTTCTAGTGGTTTGGTAACTACTTGCAATTCTTGCCATCATTGAGTGAGCCCCTTGGTCCCCTTGAATCTGCCACACCTCACATGATGCTATAGAGTCAACACAATCTTTCTGGTAGTTATGCCAATATAACAGACTTTCTACTCGGGCTATGGCCTTCCACCATCCTAAATGACCAGTCTTGGCACTGTCATGCACTAACTCTAATGTTGCTTTATGTAAATGTTGAGGTACTGTACTACTAAACAATACAGCAACACTTTATCAATTTGTTCTTTCACTAGATACAATACCCCATTTACTACTTCAAAGTTATCAATGGCACCCTTTGGGTACTTATGTTGTGGTAGTTTACTGCCTTCTAAATACTGTTTTAACTTTTGCCACCTTGGTTCTTTCTGTTGTTCTAAACTAAATTCAACCTGTGTGAAACCTTCTAATCTGGGAAACTGATCCTGAATAACTTTTCTCAAGGCTCTGACTGGTCGACTTAAGGCATCTGCTACTACATTTGCTTTACCGGGTTTGGATTCAATGTTTTAAACATAATATCTCATTTCTAAGAACCATCGGTTCATTCGCTGACTCTTGGTTTTCTTTCTAAAGACTGATGTTAAAGGCTGATGGTCTGTCTTAATGGTAAACTGTGTATCCCATAGAAAATGATGGAAAAATCTGTAAGCTAACACAATGCCTAATGCTTCCTTATCGGTGGTGGAACAACAAGTTTCTGCAGGCTTTAACTTTCTAGAAAAATACCCACAGGTTGCAAGGAGCCATCTTCTTGTAACTGGTTAAGGGAAGCGCCCACACAAAAATTGCTGGCATCACTATGCAATTCAAAGGGTTTATATTTATCTGCCTTGACGAGGACTGGATATAAAGCTAGTGGTTGCTTTAACTTCTCAAATGCTTCTTGACACTCAGTGGTCCACATAAAATCAACATTTTGTTTTGTTAACTCAGTGATGGGATTAGCTACTTTGGCAAAATTGGGAACATGTTTACGGTAAAATCCACACATACCCAAAAACTGGCGGACTTGCTAAACATTAGTTGGGGGTTTACACTCAGTCATAGCTTGGACAATTTTTGGGTCAGGCTCAATGCCTCTCTCTGAAACTACATATCCTAATAATTTAACTTGCTTATGGCCAAATTTACATTTAGATAAGATTTAATTTAATACCCATTTCCACAAATCTATCAAACACACTGACTAGTCTTTCCAACAAGGTTGAGAAATCATTAGCCCACATTATTACACCAAGACAGTTCAGTATCCAGTCTTCAACTGCTAATGAAGCTTATATTCTGTTTACTTTTCTAGTAAAAATGGCAGGACTGGCTGAAAACCTAAAAGGTAGATATGTAAACTTCCATAGATTATACTCCTCACTAAAGGTAGTTAGGTCTTGGCTACTGTTGTTAACAATTACCTGAAAGTGTGCATCCTTCAAATCTAATACCTGTATGGCCTAATACTCATTTCCCACAGCTTTCTCTACTAATTCATCAATTCGTGGCAAAGGTTGTATGTCGATTTTCAAGTGCTTATTGACAGCTCGAAAGTCTAAGCATATACCAGAACAATAGGGGATAACCATGCGGCAGTTGATGGCTCAATAATGTTCCGATCTCTCATGTCTACAATTATACCTTTAATTACATCTTCAACTTTCTCTGGGTGTTGATATTGTGGTTTCCTGAGAGGATTGTGATTGGCAAGTTGAAAGTTAGCAGGCGGACCACCAACTGACCCTATTTTGTGGGGTCCTAAAGCAAACAAGGGATCATGAGCTAAAATCACTTTTCTTAACATTTTATGCATATCTTTGTATAAATGGGGCCACAGTTGTTTTCTACACAATTCACTCAACTTTTCCTGTCTAGTGACTCCACCTTTTACTTCATCACATTCCAGTATCATGTTGTTAGAACTTTCATGAATATGTCTGACATTCTTTACTGGACTGTTGGGAATTCCATCACAAATTACACAGGAAATTGGTGGTACTCTACACATAAAGATATATGATGCCTTCACATATACTCAATACACCTTGAATGCTTTATCTCACTGTAGGCATATCTGACTTATGGCTTCTCATACACGTTATCTCTTAAATTTAAATTTACTTTGAAGAGTGATTGTTTACGAGAAAACGGATGTTACCTCTCTCTAGGGAAAATACGCCTCTCTCTAGGGGTAACTCCTTAGTTTCACGCATGTTTTGTGAACGGTGGAGCATAATATGAATAATTAAGTGTTGAACTTACTAACTGTGATATTGTGACCATGACAATATAACCTTATGGAATGTTGGACATGCATAGTTTGGGAGAAAACAGTACCCACATTCTTCCACCAAAGTTTTGCTTCAGGGGAGCCATAGAAACGTAAGTCTCTTCATTTTTATCTGTTGATGACCAGTGCATTTACTAACTCAGAAATGCACTTAAAGACCCTAGTTGTTGAAGCTCAGTAATATACTATAATATCAATATCTCTCGTGTCAGCCCACAAATAGATGAGCACATGTTCCACAGTTCATGAACTTTATCTCAATAAAGTCATTGTCAGACAGCAAATCTGTGAAGGGCAAATGCACAAATGACAAAGTCCTGTTGTTTGTATGAAAGCTTACAATAAACGCTCAACTAATGTCTTCATTATGGTAAATTTAGCCTTTACAGTCCACTTGTCACTATATATACTGTACATTCAAGAAGCTGTGTTTCGGTTCCTATAAATGTGTACCACTATAATAGAGCTGGTTAACATATGTCTTTACCAGCAGGTTTTAAGGAACCATCAGCTGTAGGCATTGCTAACATGAGGAGAAAATTTCTAATGAAAATAGGTGAGAATGAATCCAATGTGGCAGAAAGAGCCCAACACTTCCAGCGTGTAAGATTTGATTTGCCTTTTCTTATCTTAGAATCTGATGAGAGGATGACTAAGTCTATACAATATGGGTTTCTGTAATAAACTGTAATAATAGACACATACATTCCTGCAAAAAAAAAAAATGGCAATGCACAGCCTATACAAAGGCAATGAAGTGGAGTCCTGTAGGGTTAACAATATTAATAAACTCTACACAGTAACTTCTCATTAAGTTTTTCAATCTCTCCCATAACATGATTAATTTCCTTACCATGAAGGATGTTAAGCATGTGTTCCAGCCGCTTCATTTCCATGGTGAGGACATGTTTAGGCTTGATGACCCTCTCAGTGAGTTGCTCAACTGGAACCTGAGATCATTTAAAAGTAAGCAATTAAATAATAATGAGTTTAAACTCAAGTAAATAAAAAAAAATTTTAATCAGCAATTATACATATACTGTACTGTAGTGTACAGTATAGTGATATCCCCATTAGCCGGAATAATTGGGAACAAGAGAATTCTGGGAAACGAGATGATTCTCTCAAACCCTGAAAAATCCCACATCCCAGAATATGTCTGGGTAATGGGAAATGTTTCTGCAGTCAAAATTTTAATTCATCCTCTGAGTTTGCTCCCAGATCCGGAAATACAAAATTGGAGAGTGTCCGGATTTTCTTAGAATTTTCCACAATGACGCATTATTTCATCCTTGGAATTTGCTCCCAGACCCTGAAAAAAAATGGGGGGATAGATTTTCCACAATTTTCTCAGAAAATGTACCTGATTTTCAACCTTGAAAACTTGTTCACAGACCCGTGAATGAGGTAATTTTTTCTGAAAAAATTATGAGCCAATTTCAATTCCGGGTATTGGAGAGTTCCGGCTAACGGGGAATCTGATGAACAGAGATACTGTATTACTGTATCTATGGACACTATATATATAAATTATTATTTTTTCTATAATCAGTAATTTTAAGAACATATCTTAAGCAGAGATGGAGGATTAATGTAAAATATTTCATTACTGTACTAGGAATGTATTGTGAATTTATACAATACCCTGAATTAAAATCCACTCCTATTTTGAAATACAGTATCTGGTATTTCAAACCCCCATTTCCGTCACTTTAGTTTGAAATAACGAGGTTCTACTGTATTTTTTTTTATTTTCTACATTGTATTCCTCACTTTTATGACTCTCAAGCACTTCATTTCTGACATCTTGTACATGTTTCTTACTTATGCATCCAGAACCCATGCTTCACCTCCTTACAGCAATGTTGGCACACCTACTTTCATACACTCTCCTATCTTGTTTCCTTGGACACTGTTCGCTCTACTTATATATTCTTATTGCATTTATAAATTACTTTCGCTCTGTTTCTGTGAGATTCCATTTGTCATCCATTGTTCCATTTACTGACACCCATCACTCCCAAATATTTGAAAATCTTTTTCTTTTTTCTAGATCCACTCAAATTAACAGTCTTATTTCCCTGTCTTCATGCTTTACTTTCATCACTTTAATATTATTTACCATCAACTCTCTCTTTCTAGACACTCTTACTAAACCATTTTTTTTAAGTTTCCAACCTTTCCTCTGCATCACCCACTTGAACAGTGTCATCTGCCAAAAGTAGCCAATTCACCTGACTTATCACTAACAATCAAAGCTGCACCCTTCTCCACTACACCTTCTTCACCTCTTTCACTACCCTATCTATAAAAATATTGAACATCCATAGCAACATTACATATTCTTGACATAGTCCTACTTTCAATTTTTACCAGTTTTCCACTTTCCAATAAACTTTAACAATGCTTCTGGCAGTGGTCTGTCTTTATAAGTTACTTGTAAGAATCCAAATGTTCTAAAAAAGTTTTCAGTTACAAATGAAAAGGTTTATGCTATTTTCACTGCAACTCACCTTTAGTTTGTCAGCCAAGTAATGGATACGGTTAAGATGATCAGGATAATCTGCAGCCTCTAACATAAAAAGTTTCTGGTAGCTTGCTATCTTTTTTAATGTAAAATGGCAGAATCCTAAGCCTTCGGAGCAGTTTTGAAATAAATATGGCTCAGTTAGCTTCAAGAATTTTTTCTGGAGATCATCTGTAAAATAATTCAAAAATTATAAACTCATAAAGATAATAAGTACAGTAGACCGTTGCCATTCACAAGGGATAGGTTCCAAGAAATGGCATGAATTGGCAAAACCGTGAATAGCAACTTATACTACCTTAGTGCACTACTGTATATCTATACCAAACAACTGATCAGCTGTGGCAGCACTCATCCCCTCTTTTAACTTATCTAATAATAAAACTTTCTTTGTCAACATCATTACGGACTTCTGCTTTTTACACTTCACTCCACTAGCATCACTCGCACTGAAACTCGGCAGTCTTTTAGGGGCCATTGCACACAGAAACACTAAAGTTTTGAGAGTACAACACAAGAGATGCTGCATGGGGTGACTCGTTGTGCTGCGGGAAAAGGCTTGCAAGCTGGCCACCATAGCCATCATCTACTTTCCGCGAATCGTCGAAATTGCAAATCGCAAACTTGCAAATGGGTTGAAGACCACGTTCACTGAACTGAAATCTTAAAACCCTGTGACAACCTTAACCCTGATCTTTCTTTTACATTGTTTCAACATCTCTTAATTTCCTTCCCCTTTTTGTCACTCCTTTCTCATAAATGATGTTCATATGTTCTTCTTATCCCCCTAATGAGTACAGTTAGCCTCTCATCCCACTACTTTATCTTCTTGTTTAGATTTCCCATTTTCCAGTACCCACAAACCCTCAGCTGTACTTTCTCAGATGGTTCTCTTGACTTTGTATGCTTGACGGGCCAAGTATACATAGGTATGTACTGCATATCTTTCAACTTTGTTTTGATGTTATTGTACCTGTTTTGTTTCATTTTGTTGATGTCTATTTATCTGCTATGTTAATATTTGTTTCTGTGTTTTTATTGAAGGATACTTGAATTCTTATAGAATCAAGGGCAGATCTAGGAATAAAAAAAAAAGGGGGGGTGGGGGGTCCAAGAAGTTGTGGGTGGGGAAACATGGTGAGCACAGCGAGCCCACCCAACTGGGGGGTTTTGGGGGGGCACTGTAAGCCCTTACCCCCAATTTTTTAAATCTGCCCAATATCATGGGCATTTTGAGGCCATTTTGAAGCCATGTGCACTTGATATTAGGAGATATTCTGAAGTCAATAGTAAATACTTTGTACTGTACAAAAATGACTGAGTACATTACTGCTTTAAAGAAAAAGTACTGGAATTTTCTAGTGAAAAGGTGGGGTCCAAACCAACAGGACCCCACTGGATCTGCCCTTGAGCCTAAGTTGAATTTTGTTTCTCTTATGGGCCTACTACAATAAACAATTGCCTGTTACACTATGTAACACCAAATTTTAAGTAAAATCAGCTAATCACTTGTTATGTGACAGAGCAATGATACAAAGTAAAACCCCTTAAAATCCTTTCATGTGCCTTACTGGGAACAGTTTTGGTGTCACTTATTCAGTACATGTGTAGCCTCTACCAAGAGGTCACAAATGTAGAAGAATGATCAGATTTAAGGAAAAATTTAACTTTTTTGTGCACCCCCTTAATCCCATAACATAAACCTAACTCAGAGCATCCATTTGCCAAGACCCATTCATATAGGGATCACCCTGTTCCACACAACAAAAGAGAGGAAAGTGCATTCAATTTACAAGCCTGGCTAACCCAATCCCCAGTCAAAAGTTGGGGTGATGCAATGTATGAAATTATTTACATCTAGCCATGCCACCAGTCCACTTCATAGCACAGGGTGAGTCCCACATAACCCTAGAATGTAATGTACCAAAAGTTGGAATGTGGTTTGTGTATACAGTACATTGCATAGGCTGGGGTTTGCAAATGGCTCCAACTCACAACACCCACTACCACCTCATTAGTTTCTTGCCATATACAGTAATAATTTACCATCATTTACTTGTTCCATAGACTAGGGAGTCAATAAACAAGAACCACCACATTAAGAGTGGCAGCTGGAATTGAGGTGGTGTAAAATGAGTTAAGCATGAACTGTGTGATAATCACAACTCATAGGCCTTTGGGTAGTTGTGACTTCTTAATTTCTTCTTTTGAAGGGATAAGGTTGTTGTGGGGAAGAAAGCTAATCTTCAAAGTAAGCCCCAGCTACTGTGATGCTAGTGCTCTTCTAGGTTCCTGCCCCAAGCCTCCAGTAGGCATATACAAGAGTTTTTCTACACAGGCTTAGGCTAAAAATAAAAGCAAATTACATTTGTATGAGTAGAAATATTATTAAACCTACCTAAGAAGTGAAAACCTTTCCTTGAAAATTCATATTTAAGAAACTGAAAAAGGTGTCTAGTAAATTGACATACCTACAGATTGTAGAATTATCCACGGTATTCGTTGGACTTGTTGAGAAGAGATATTATGATCTTTAAGGAAGTACAGAGTCTTCAGAATAGCACCATCTGACACCAGGAGAAATTTGCTGGGACGAACCATGCGGAGAGCTTCACTGCGATTTATTTGAAACAGGCGATTCAATTCACATATAACAGACTCGCCAACATTCACCTGGAAAAATAACAAATACATTAATTTCTTCTATGACAAAATGAAAAATCAAAGGAGTAAGGATTGAATTAAATATCACTCGAGTTCTGATTCCTGAAATCCTGCTTTAAGAATATATGTTGGTGGTACAGTGGCAGGGTGCTAGCTTCTCACCAGTGTGACCCTGAGTTTAATCCTAAGTCAGGTATGAGAAGAATATTATCCAGTATGATCTACTGAACATAGAAAGTCTTCTCCAGTTCCATCATGAACTAACAGTGTAGCCATGAAACACAAATTCTTATCAGCAACATTAGGAGGATTAAAACAGGTCTCCAGCTTCCTTCCTCAGCAAAAGATGAATTATTGTATTTACAGGCCGGGTATCCACAAAAGTCATACAAATCATGTGTGTTCTAGTATGTGTTCTACAGGTAATATTATATGTATACACTATTTACATGCAGAACACCCCAGTCAGAGCATGTAACCAGCCATCACCCACACCAACACACAACACATCCAGTGAGCACAGAAACAACAGGCTCCATGGTAAAGTAATTATGAAAATCACAGCTGTATTATGTACAAGTATTTATTAAGTATTTACTAGGTGTTCTCATTACAGACATGTTCAACACATGCAAATTCACCCTTCTGTGAGAACCTCTTTTCTGCCAAAACTTGCTTACCTGTGAGAAAAATTCAGGCTTATGCAATTGAGTATATATGAATATGTTCTGAGTCAGTCACAATGAACCTCTCGACACCATAGCATCTTGGTCACTACTCAGCTAATGCGAGTGATGTATTATGGTGTCGTATAGTGTACAGGTATTACGTAAATATTATTGTAGAGTCGACAAAAAACTACATTATGTATCTTTATCTCTGGGTCCGATGGGTTTTGAAATGAATACTATGACTCTTGTTCTTTTGATAGGATTGGTACTGTATTGCTGCAGAAATGTGTTCCGACACACCCTGTGGTAACCCATGTATTCAAATGGCAACGTCACAGTTGTAGTATCACTATTCATGAATGAAGGGGTATTGGTTGAGTAATGACGGATGTGATTGGTGGATAGGTTTGCGCTGTGTGTATGACATGACATCACATAGGGGGAAGGAGAGTGTGGCTGGCTGTAGTTACAGCTCACTGTCTCGATACATACATTCACTACCCACACATATACACCCATGCTCTTCATTCTTTATAGTTTTATTTTATATTTTCTTCATTTCTAAGCCACTTTAGAGTATTGCAATGATTCTTTTTTTTTTTATCAAACGAACACAGACAAGTGATAAACACAGAGCTAGTGAGAGATGCTTGTGCGAGAGAGAGAGACCCAAGTGTAGGGGTGGTTCAGAAGGTCAGACATGTACAAGTGGGTTTGCATGCTAGGGATACACGTACTATGCGACCCTACTGTACAGTTGTGCCATAAACACATCAAATGTCATAAAAGCCTGGTTTAAATAGTTGTAAAATGGTACAGAAATCCTTTTATGCAATTTTGTATTATGCACACTTTTTTTTAGAATGCAACCCTCACATGTAATGAGAACGTCCAGTATATGTTATCTGTATATGAAATATATATACACCATTGTCAGCATCATAGATACGATTCTTCAGTGGATATCCTGTACATATATCTCCCCAACCCACCTGGATTTCTGAAAATTTGGGGGCACTTTAAAAATTTAGAGATGAAAAGATATTGAAGATTTCTGGTCTCAATGACACATTAACATCTTAATTTTAAAAAGCCAATAAAATCCATTATAATACAGTACAAAGATAAATATACAACAATCTCACTTTTTTTCCAACATCTTTCCATTGAATCTTTCTATCTTGATGGTAGGGGTTGTCAAAGAATTCTCCTTCTTCTAGGGATGATTCCTCACTAACTACAAGGATCACTTCATCATCTACACCCTTAATCTTGTCATCACTGAAAAATGAAGAAATATAAGAAACATAAAGTGATGATACAGTACAGGTACTCATTCATGTAAATGGCTAACTCCTACATAGTACCTTATATATTAATTAAAAAAAAAATTCTATATGTTCTGTTTCAAGATTCCAACTTCTAGACAATGGGCAAAATTATCTCTGTACTATTTACTGATTCAACAATGAGTAAACTCTGCAGTTAAATTAATTCTGTAATTCTCTATTTCATAATTAATTTTGCAGATACAGGTATTGTACAGTATTAGTAATAATGAGATTTCTGTTTTAAGCAGTCAATTACTTAAATCTACAGTAAACTGGGAACAAGGAAAATGGGAAACTAAGACAAACAAATTTACTTTAAGATTCTAAGGCTAAATATCACCACTAAGACAATAGAGGGATTGAGGCAGAAATCTTGTTTTCTAGCAAAGCCCAAAACCCTTGTAATACAGGCTACTTAATAGGGAAATGGGATGTAGAATATCTTTCCATTCCCCATTTATATAGGCAAGGGTGAGTTATCACCCCTTCCATCCATTTACCCAACCCCCATATTCAGTGCACCTTTGTGGTGACATAGTTGCTTGAAGGGAGCTAGGATCAAACCCTGATCATAAATGACTGAGCTTATTCTGAAATCAGTGCAAGGCTTTGTTCAAGGACTAACATATAGTTATTGCTCCCAAATATCAGATAACAGTTACATTATAAATTGTCAATAACAAAAGGCTGCCAGTGCTATCTTACCTATCACAAGATGACTTGGCTTTATTAAGCAGTGATGCATCCTGTGTAATTGTGCAAAATGGAGTGCTTGTGGGCAGCTTGTCAATTTTTAAACAATTTCTTGTTTTGAAGGCTTGTGATGCTGGAGTAACAGTTGTTTTATGGCAACACTGATGTGAGCATCTTAATCTTGGTGCTGGAAATGTTGGAAAATGTATTCAATCTGAGTTCAATCAATTCTAACCAATGGTGCATGATTAACATTTAGAATTACAAGAAAATAGAAAAAAATTACTTAACCCTCTGGTACTCTTGGCCATGGTCGGAAATCTCACTCACTCGCAGTCTTTCGACGCAGGTTGTGTCAATAACAGCAATGGGTTTCCCATTTGTAATGGTGCTAATAAAATATTTTTGACAACTTTCTTATTAAATTTCATGATATTCTTTAGGCAATTTTCTACTGAAGTGTGTTTCATACACACCACTGCTTCCACAGAGGAATAATTGAGCAGCTACTGGAGATAAAATGAACGGACCTTACCTAACCATACCTAACCGGAATTTTTCGGAAAATTACGGCTTTGGGAACGATTGTCTGATGGGCACATTTTCTGGAAAATTCTGAGAAAATTTTCCCAATATCAAGAAAATTTCTGAAAATTACGGGGATTTTTTTCCCGTTTTTGAGAGATGAAAATCATGCGCATTTTCTGGAAATTCCGAGAAAAATTTTCGGTTTCCCCTGAAAATTCCGGGGATGAGGGATATTATTCCTGGTTCGAGAGATGGTGTAATGGGCAATTTCTGAAACTTCCGAGAACATTTTTCCGTTACCAATTGTTCCGGCTAACGGGGATATCCTTGTAAGTTATTCCGTCACACAAACATTGCACTACAAGTACTGAACTTGACAAGAGCTAAAACGGTACTGGAACTATGAAACGAAGTACGAGCTTATATTCAAAACTGAATTCACTCACATAGGATTAGTGGACCTCCAAAAACGAGAGATTAGTACAGCCAGTGACCCAGGCAACATCCCTTTGAGTATCTGATGTAACGTCCTTTGATGGTCGCGTATCACAAAGTCGCCAAATAACCTGACTGTGATACGCGACTATCGAAGGACTATGGAAGTTCTGCAATAGACTTATATGCCAAGAATAGGCCTAATTCAAACTTTTAACCTGAAAATAATAGGGTAGACTTATATGCTGCCAGGATTCGATCCCACGGCCCACGACTGTGACCGGGGAACGCTACCTCTAGACCACCAGGATATATATATATATATATATATATATATATATATATATATATATATATATATATATATATATATATATATATATATATTTCATGTAGATCCACATATTTATAAAGTACACACATATATCTAGAACTCCAACAGGGACCAATTTCTACTGTATATAAACCAATGAAGTTAATGGCTAATTCTAAAATTATTCCATCAGATAATCTGCCTTTAACCTTGTGGTGAGTAAAGTAACAAGGTACAGTTCTTACTATTTGTGTTGTCACATGGTCTTGTACGTCCGGGAACTCCTGTGGTCCACCAGATTGACCTCACTCTCCCAACACTGTAAGATTTATAAATATTTCTTAATATCATTTTACTCATAAGACACAGCTGCCTTCAAAGTATTTTCCTCATGTTAATCTTCGGGTCGGGTCTTTTCCATGTGTTCAACATCTATATTTCCTTCTCGCGTCACTGTCTCTCAATAAATATTTGTTTCATATTTTTCTTTAAGGAACACTTTTTACGTAGTTATGTTCTTGTTCTCCTTTAATTGTATGTACAATTATATGAAGGCTTCAAGTAAGGTTTGTTTACTATTTCAGTCTAGTCCTGTCTGCTCAGCTGGGAAAGCAGTGTTGCCAGATGACTCCCAGCAAAATCTGCTATACCAAGCGTTAAAAATGGCTAGAAACTGGCTACACTGAAAAAATATGGCTAGAAATATGGCTAACTCTTCAGTGCATACATATGTAAATAGAAATTGAGGGAACTACTTATTTTAATGAATGTTTTCCACACTAGCTTTTTTCTTACCTTTTAGTTAGTCACATCTTTTAATATATAATGTTTAGCACGTCATCGTCATCTTCATTTTCATCAGTGGACGATGTTGAAGGCTTGTCTGATGCATTTTTGCTTGACTGCTCATACTTATGACTTGAGGTTACAAAGTCAAGAACATCATTTGGAAATTCATATGTTACACAAGTTTCTGGCATCCTTTTAAGGCCATAGTGAATGTGAAGTAATGCATTAATGTTGTCTGTTTTCATTTTATTCCTTAGCTTGCTCTTAACCAAGTTTATTTGACAAAACACTTTCGATTTCTGCATTGGGGTGTGGCAAAGTTATGATAGATAGTTAATGCAGCTGATGACAATTCTAGGTAATGATTCAAGTTTGAAGCATATTTGTACCTGCGGACTTCAGCCCAAAATTTTACCGTGTCTTGGGTTTCACACCATTTTACTAGTGTAATATTTGCCCACTGGAGTTCAGTTTTTGTAATGTCTTCTGCACTAACACCCAAAGATTCTATAAGAGGGGCAATGGAGTTTTTTTTACTACACGGAAAGCATTTGAGACACTTAACAGTGACATTGTTTTCAATACTCGTACATTATCGGGGAATCTCTGTTGAAGTTACTTGATGAGACAAAAAATTTAGAGTATCATTCCCGAAAATTTTGCTCTCGTTCCACAGACAAATTCACTTGCAATTCTGATAACATTTTCTCAGTTTCGTAACCAAAATACAGTTTTGGTTCTAGATACTCCTCAAAGTTGCAGGTGAAGGGATCTCTATGCGGTGTCGATGAGAAGGTTATTATCACTATTCCACCAGCATTTCAGATCGTCCAATAACTTTGTGGGATCACAGTCATTAGATTCAAATATCTTGTTCACTCTTTGAACATTACTTGAAACAGACTTCAAAATGGGCATGTAGGCAAGGTTGAATTCATCACTGTACATGGCATGTAAAATTTCTGATGTATAGCACGATTTTGCGATACCAAAATGTGTTTTCAATAACTTTAGAGTTAGAGTATTCAATAACTTCAAAACTGAAATGAAGAGAAATTAACAGATTCACAAGAACATTTAATTAAAAAAAAAGTCCAGAAAATAGCCAAACCTTGTGGGTTTTCGGCTATCGGCTAGATGTAATATTTTCTGGCTAGATGTAGCAAAATAAGCTAAATCTATAAAAAAATGGCTAATCTGGCAACACTGTGGAAAAGTTATCGGTTAATTTTTGGTGTTAGTACTAACGTTTTCTTTCGTGGTTAGAGCACCTTATCTACTCTTGTTTTAATTTCTGATTTAACAAATGATGATATTTCCTAAATATATATACGTTTTTACCTTTTGTGTTATATACCATAACTTTTGCTGGAAAGTCATTCTTTTATTTAGAAACCGCTAGTGCTTCCAAGCCCACATTCTTTGCCTTTTTTTATTCCATCTATTGAACAGATTTCTGTAATGCCTCCTCACACTAAAATACGAGTAAGTATCATTTGGATAATTAATATTTGATAATCCTTTCCTTAATTGTAGTTCCTTCAACGATACTCACAATTTCTCGTAAGATTATAATGTCATTAATATTGAAATTTGCACGCATCCTTGTTTGACTCCATGTTTAACCTTAAACCATCGAAAATGTTTATTTTAACACATTTTATATTTCTAGTTAGAGAGTGTCATCAGGGACTACCTGTCCGGGGTGAGGAAATGAATAAGGTCACCATACTCATAATATTTGTGAAATTGAAGAAGTTGGTAAAAAGTATTTTAAAAGCTTGTCAATACAAAGTCTTTAGCATAAAAGGTGCAAGGTAAAATTGCAATTTATCTCATTAAACACCAAGGAAGCAAAATAAAGCAAAAATTGGTTAGAATCTTTTCATCGTCGTAGACTGGGATTCACTGTGGTTTGTCACATTGTACAAATTGAAAAATTCTATCAAATCGTTTAGTTCAATTCATTGCTTCAGAAATTAAACGACTATTGATTGGTATTTTAGCTTTACCTCTGTGCACCAGAAAAGCTACCCGTTTTCCTCGTAACATAGTTGATAGAAATAGATCAGGAAAAGGTGGGTGTTTTGTCAAAGTTTTTCTAAAAGTTTATTCATTGTGAAGCTAAAATAAGGAAGAACTGTACCAACACTTTCTTACACGAAGTTTAGAAACTGCTGGGTGAATTAATACTTTCTTGAAGAAGATTACGAGTTTGACTTCTCTGTGACCATATAGGACTAGAGACAACTCAGTCCACAAGACAGGTCAATCCTATGCCATTTTTCCTTACAGTCAAGTATCTATGCACCAGGACAATTTGTCTTAGAGTTATCGATATACACTTTGAAACATCATTATTAAGCTTTGTTAAGTTAACATATATGGAAAATATCTTCATACTAAATTTTATGATCCTCAATATACCGAAAATTAGAGTTTTTTTCTTTTCTAGAACTGTCCTAGCATAAGCCATTGGAGCAAGAATAGTACTGGGCCCGAAAGCAGGCCTTGACAAGACTATAAAGAACACTGTGGGATGCCAACACAGGTCACTGGCCTATTTACCCAGCCTTAGCCACCTCCATTTGTGGTGGACATTAAGTAAATTAGGTAAATTCGGACCCCTACATTGATAATAGTGACGGCTCTATCCCAAAATTTTACTACTACAGATCTTCTATAGTACAGTATCTGTAGATATTAATTGCCACTGTAAAGAAAATATATCAATACTAATTTATAAACAGTGCTTTCAGTTAGCTATGGAATTGTTTTTTTAAATAAGGTGGATCAAGAACTGGTCATTGGTTGCGTGAAGATGTTATTGAGAAAAGGAAACTCTTCTTTTCCACAAGACACTCATCAATAAGTTCACGTAAGGCAGATGTTGGGTTGACTGATCGCAGACGAAGAAAGAAAGTAAAAGAATTGGGCCATATTTCTTCAATCGGTACTGCAATAACTCAAGTCGTTTTTTATTTTGTATACTTTATATATATATATATATATATATATATATATATATATATATATATATATATATATATATATATATATATATATATATATATATATATATATATATACAAAGGATTATTGGTAACTTTAATTTCTTTCACGTTAAGATTACTGTAGGATTTTATTTTAAAAAATCACCCAATACAAAAAACTCGTGGAATACATATGATAAAGTAAATCAAATATGGAGGCCAAAAGAAGAACCTTTGAAAAATTTGGTAATTCTATTCTTTGGTTTTGGGGAAGATGACTTTGTTCCTAAGTTAGGTTAAAATCCATTGTTATTTACTCGAAATATTGTATTTTAAAATGATTGATGAAAACACACACACGAAGGAAGAAGGTAAACATGAAACTAGGAGGAGTTAGAGAGTTCCATCACAGTAAAGGCCAAGACTAACTCCAGGTAACTCAAACACTTCTTAACAATTATTAAACTCCTCAGACACTATCTTGATCCAGTAGACCAAGTCAAGACCAAAGAGGGAACAGGAAAACCCCGGAGATCAAAGCCTTACCATTAGGGAGCCTCGCGTGACCCTGGGCCGAGTAAGCAGTCTTTGATGTGCACCAAATTGGCTTGGTCGAATTCCTGCAGTCAGAGATCACGTTCGTCCACCAATCAGACGTCTTCCTGCCCTCGTTATGAAGTTCAGAACTGCATGCACATCAGGGTGTCTGTATATTTGTCTAGGTCTCTAAGAAGTATAGTAGAGTCGTTCATTATATACCATTTACTCACGTCTCTGTTACTTCTTAATTAAGTGATACTGGACTAGTGAGACATCTGGTAGTAGGGGTTTTAACCTTTATCTTGAACCAGTATAAGCATTGGACGAGCCATGATTTTGATGTTGGACTTGATGATAACAAGACCGGGATTTTGATGTTGGACGATGATAAAAAGACCAGGATTTTGATGTTGGACTTGGTGATAGAAATGCCAGTATTTTGGACTCTTAATTAGTGTTGGATAAAACGGTAGCTATCACCGCCAACTCATGAACATTGATGCTCAGCGCTGATTGGCCCAGCGCAGTGACGGGTACTAAAGGACCTTGTCTTAGTATAATGAACAGCGGTGTTATAACAGCAGCAGCAGCAGCAGCAGCAACTTACTGATTGCCACTGTTTGTATACCCGCACTGTCTAAATATATTGTAAATTGCCTACCTCTATGTAGACTATAATATATATCTGTATTGTCTACATACAGTACATGCTGAACCAATTAAAAGCTTGCAAGGTGATTTTATTGAACCTGTCTGTCTGTCTGTGTCTTTTTCTGAATAAAAGTTAGCACCTTAATTCCCAAAGCTACTCAATAACAGGTAGTCAGGTGGCCATCTTACTTGCAACTCACCTGGTGCACACATCAATTGTAATTTAAATAATACAATATCCTCACAAGCTATATTAATCAGTGGCAGACCATCTCTTTGTGCTAATTTTCCCTGGTGAGAATAAATTTCCACCTTACTGTTGACTTTTCCTCTGTTTATTGACTTCGTTATCGAGTAATCGGTTAGCTGTAGGTAAAGAAGCCTCATTTTCATATTTACATTCCTTGTGAAGAGACATCGGCCGTCAGAGGAGATATAACATATTTCAGGAACGAAGCAACAGATTATACAGACTCAATCGTGTTATTTAATTTAAGTTTGTGTCTAATCAAGGTACCTTATATTCATTACCAACCTTCCCTAGGACAACTAACCTTCCCAAGGACAACCAACCCTCCCTAGGACAACCAACCTTCCCGAGGACAACCAACCCTCCCTAGGATAACCAGCCTTCCCTA